TAAAAAATAAATAAAATGTAAATGGATAAGTATAAAACTACTCAACTTAGTTGTCACTCCCAGCCTCAAAAAACACAAAGCTACCAAGCTTTTAATGTGGCCCTTAGCATTGATGAATGATGATGAAATACAAAACTACCAAGCTATGAATATGACCTCTTAAATCACTCAAAAAAGCTCTCTCTCTCTCATCACGATTCACGAGACACCCAGTCTTCTCTCTTTGTAAATTTTATCTCATAAACGATTTTTTTATATGATTTATGTCAAAAGTTATATTTATAAATTTTTTTTATAAAATTTTATAAATTACACTATATTTTACTGGTAAGACATTCTTGAATGAAATTTTATCGGTAATACGTAATGTAATTTATAAATTTGAAAAAAAAAATTTGTCAATATAATCCTCTCATAATTTCTTACAAATTAAAAAACATAACAGTTTTTTAATGAATTTTATAGAGAAATACTTTTCTTACTTGCAAGAGTTATTATCTTTTACCCAAACAATAAACAAAAAAGAAAAAGGAATTGGAGGTGAGAAAAAAAAATCTTGTGAAACTTATTTAAAAAATATGAGTATAGAAGATAATATTTTTCTTAGTAGCATAAGAAATGTATTACACATTTTTTATAATAGTGTAATTGCACAAAATTTTAAATAAAATAAGTTAATACAAAATAAATACTTTTTATTGAAGAAAATCCTAAAAGCTGCACATAATACAAGAGCAACTCCTAACTTAAAAAAAAAAAAAAAAAAAACTCAAACCTGCCAACTGCCCAGCTTTGAATGTTGCCAAATAGCATTGATGATGTAATAAAAAACTACCAAGCTTTGAATGTGGTCACTTTAACATTGATGATGCTGTAAAGAAAACTGAAACAGAAGCAGTAACTTTATAAACAAACAAAGAGAAGAGTCCGTTTGTTTGTTTCTAATGCTCAGAAAAAGTTTCCTGCTTCTGTTTCAGTTTCTTTACTGTATCATCAATGTTAAATTGACCACCTCCGGAGCTTGGTAGTTTTATATAGTTTTTTTTTTTCAAATTAAAAAATATATAGTGCTGCCTGCTAAAAGAAATAGGAGTTTATTTTTATGTTATAGAAAATAAATTTTTTTCTTATATGTATATATAAAAATATGTGGTATTCATTTTTTTTCTCGCTCTTCTTTTTCACGTGATTTCATGTGGATCTCACACATTTTTATGTATGTAAGAGATACTTTTATCACTTATAATATGAGAAATATCAAACCCAAAAAATATTTTTTTTAAATTGTATCATTTTCATTAAAAATATTTTTAAATATAGAATAAGTAACGCAGATAAATAAATTTTATTAAGGAAAGTCATAAAAGCTGCACACAATGCGTTGCATTTAATTTATAGTATAATTAATGATAAACATAAATTTATTTTTTGGAATTTACATATTTGTTATTATAGTTAAAAAGTATGAACTCACTTACCAAAAAAAAAATATGAACTCTCGTAAAGAAAAAATATTTCTGCTCTAACATGAGATATGTAACCCAAAATGATATCATTTTGTTATCAAAAAAAAAAAAAAAAAAATGATATCATTTTGAGAATTTGAAAAAAAAAATACAAAATATTTTAATAATTTACTTTTCTTTTGTATCATATAATTTTATTAAAATATATTATATTTTTTTCTCAGATCTCAAAATAATATAATTTTGAGATTGGATAAGATAAATTTATCTCATAAGAGAAACGTTAATCCCTAATAATAAAAGAATTTAACAGTCTCATTATGTGTTTTGCATAAGTACACTTCAATTAAAGGACTTCAATGTACATTTCTCATTTGCTAATTATAATAATCTCATTTACTAATTGAGTTACTTGGGTCAACAATCGCTACAATTCAGCGTACTTTAATGTTAATCTAACACTTTCTTTAAGAATGGAATTGTTAAAATTTATGGAAAGTTAATTAAGTGTAACATATATAGATAGAGAGAGAGAAAAAAAAAATCACTAACTGGACTGTTCAGTGCACTAAGTTCTCCCGCGAGAACTTAGTGCACTAAATATTATAATGATGTTCTCCAGGTGTTCTTCAGGGAGAACATAGTTATAATATTTACTATAAATGTGTTTTCGTAGGAGAACTTAGTGCACTGGACCAAATTTTGTATTCAATTATTGTACACTCACTAAACCCATATATATATATATATGAGGTAGGATCCTTTGACACAAGTGTCAAATTTTTTGACACCTCATCTAAGAACCGTTAGATCAAGAAAGATCAATGACTCTGATTTGTAAGCACATGACACCATTGATCTTTTTTGATCTAACGACTCTTAGATTAGGTGTCAAATTTGAAATTTGACACTGGTGTCAAAGGATCCTACCTCTGTCTCTCTCTTTATATATATATATATATATGGTTTGCTTTTTTTGCAGTTACTGCAGATAAATTATCTACAGTAAGTCCAATACGACATCATTTTGGAGCGGAAATCATGGTGTTTTTGTAATTTTGATTTATTTCAGGATTGTTTTAGTCTTTATAATTCTAATTTTTTAATATTTCAATCCCAAAACGACGTCGTTCTCTGATTTGTAAGCACATGATACAATTGATCTTTTTTGATCTAATGACTCTTAGATTAGGTGTCAAATTTGAAATTTGACACTGGTGTCAAAGGATCCTACATCTCTCTCTTATATATATATATATATATATATATATATATATATATATATATGGTTTGCTTTTTCTTCAGCTACTGCAGATAAGTTATCTACAGTAAGTCCAAGACGACATCATTTTGGGGCGGAAAATATGGTGTTTTTATAATTTTGATTTATTTCAGGGTTATTTTAGTCTTTATAATTATAATTTTTTAATATTTCAATCACAAAACGACGTTGTTTTGAAAGTAAATGCAGATAACTTATCTACATTAACTGCATAAATAATTTTCTGTATATATATAGGGTAAAGTATTTCTCCAATCACCGAAGATAAAGTTATCTCCAGTAAGCTCAAAATTACGTCGTTTTGGGACGAAAATCTAGGTATTTTTGTAATTATAATATATTGCAGGGTTATATTAGTCTTTATCATTATAATTTTTTAATCTTATAACCTCAAAACGACGTCGTTTTGAGCTCATTGGAAATAATTTTATCTCCGGTGACTGGAGAAATACTTTTCTCATATATATATATATATATATATATATGGGTCAGGATCATTTTACACCAGTGTAAGTTACACTCTCAATCTTGTCCGTTGATCCCACTTATATCTAAGGGCTCTAATTTTTTTTTAATGTGAGCTATTGGATACAAGTGAATCAATGATCACGATTGAGTGTAAGACTTCTAATGTAACTCTTACACTCAATCGTGATCATTGATCTACTTGTATCCAATAGCTCATATTACTAAAAAAAATTAGAGCCCTTAGATATAAGAGGGATCAACGGACAAGATTAAGAGTGTAACTTACACTGGTGTAAAATGATCTTGACCCATATATATATAGTTGTTAAAATTTATCAATATATGTAAACTTTTTTAATAAGAAAATGGGGTAGGATATTGTAACAACAAAATAGGGTTACTACTAATGTTACTACCAATCAATTTTACCATTAGATCGATTATGTTAATCTAGCGGTTATATTTATTTTCATCTTTGTATGGTTATGATTCCCCATATTTAATGTGAAAATATTAAATATGAGAAATCATAATCATACAAAGATGAAAATAAATATAACGTATTAAATATGGGAAGTCATATCCATACAAAGATAAAAATAAATATAATTGTTGGATCCATATAATCGATCGATCTATGAAATTGATTGGTAGTAACTCTAATTGATTGTTATAATATCCTACCCCAAATAATAATATGAAAAGTAGGCATATTAATTAGGAGAATGTTATATTTACAAATTTTTTATTTATAAATTTTTATAAACTATACTATGTCTTACCGTAAAACATTTTCAAGTGAAATTTTACCAATAAAATATAATATAATTTATGAATTTATAAAAAAAATTTATGAATATAACTCTCCTCTGTTAGTTATGATAAAGAGAAAACAATGAATATAACTCTCCTCTGTTAGTTATTCACAAATGGCTTGTTGAAGATTGGGATGTTCGATGGGTCCACACCTTTCGAGAAAACAATGAATATAACTCTCCTCTAGTTTGTTGCAGTTTTTGAACAGGTATCGCTTCTTGTCATTGGATGTGTGAATTTCTGAACCTATTCGACAGAGGCCATGCATTATTCTGCCTCCTCCTGCTTCATTTTGCATCCAAGGCCTGGTGTCAGTTTCCGAGTTCTGTTAGAATTCCTGGTGATGACTGTTAATGTAAGTAAACTTACAAGTGCTATAGGAGTTGTTATGTAGCAGTCTCTTGAGTTCAATGAGATTTCATTTTAGTCTCTTGAGTTTTATTTCATTTTGGGGTTTTTGACAGAGATTTACCCGGGTACACCCCTCCCTACCCGGGCAGACAAAAAATTTCAAAAAATACCCGGGTAGGCTTGGTGGTCAACGGTCAAACATGGGCAGATCGGTGTTATATTTGTTGGGGAGGTTAAATTTTTGAAATAGTTTATAATGAGGGTCAATTTGGTAATTAATTATTAATAAAAGGTTATAAGGGTCAAAAAGCCCATTTTGAGGATGATAATAATCTTATTGTTTATCATTCTCCTCCTTCTCCTTTGTTAGAGCTCCTTCTTCAGGATGTTTCTGTAGATCTTGTAAGTTCTCGCGTCGTGTAATTTTTGTTTTGTTTGGGGCTTTTGTCCCTCTTTATTACAAAAAAAAAAACAAAAACGGGGGTGATTTGGCGAAGGGCAAATTCGTCAGCAAATAAAAAATGGAAAAACTTCAAAATATAAAGAGTTAGGTTCTGACAATGTTAGGGAGAATCGATCACAGAGCATTTTTTCGCACTTCGCTATCTGAGGTTCGTTCCAAAGAGAAAGATCATCAATCATGACGACAACTCTGCTTTTTCATGTCTTTTCTTCTGAAACCCTAAATATTTTCCCTCTCTAAGCTTTGGGATCTTCCAAAGCATTCCAAAAAAGAGCTTCTTGTGCCAGCAAAATTCCCATGCCGTAGATCTTTGAATCAAAGAGAATTTCTGATCATTTTTTTTTTGTTTCTCTTTTGATCCCTTTCAGGTTCTGGGTTCTCAGTATTTGCGGTCTTGCGGAGCACAGCATCGTCTGTTAGGGAAGGCAACAACTCTTGCTCCACAAATACATATCTATATGTTATTTTGTTTATGGTATACTGTAACATGCTCTTCTTTATAATTTTATGTATCCCTGCATTTTTTCTTTCTATTTTTTTTTTGTTGATAATTTTTATTGGGCTTCCGTGATTCCATTTTCTATTGCTCTTTTCATTGCGGTTCCTTTGCGTGATTTTTCCGTGGTGAATTTCACATCAGGTGGAGCTATATTTTACACACATTTTTGTTTGTATAATTATAAATGCCTTAAAAAGAGGAGAACCTAGAGTAGTGATAAAGCTGTTCCTTTATGATTAAAAGGTCATGAGTTCGAATCCGAGAAATAAGATTGCGTAAACGGATTGCACCCACCTCATTCTCGCTAGTCGGGTTTAATGGGAAGTGATTATAATTATAAATGCCTTGGTTATGCAATTTCAATAATTCGTTTGCTTTAACTCATGGTAATTTACATCCACTCTTTTAGTATGCATACTACTTATCTTATTGTGTCTGCTTTGATTTCATTAACTGTGCCTGATCTCCTGTCTGCATCGGCTTGCTAGCAAATGAAAATCAATATGTTTCTGTTATAATGGGTATGGATTTCTCTATACAAGATAGGATGTGAGACCTTGCTCTTTTGTGTTTTGTTCCCATTGGTTTGATTCTATTTTTTCCATAATTTTTGTTCTCTGGCAATTTTAGGCAACTGATTTGCTTTGGAATTGATGGAGGCAAATTTTTTTCGTTTTCTTAAGATTGTGGGTGTTGGGTACAAAACCAGAGCTGAAGCTGCAGGACGTCTATTGTATCTGAAATTGGGGTACAGTCATGAGGTTGAATTAAGTGTGCCTCATGCTGTCCGTGTTTTCTGCTTCAAAAACAATGTAATTTGTTGTACTGGAATAGACAAGCAGAGGGTGCACCAGTTTGCTTCTACTGTTCGGAATTGTAAGCCACCAGAAGTTTACAAAGGCAAGGGCATAATGTATGTTGATGAAGTTATCAAGAAAAAACAAGGAAAGAAGTCTAAATGATCATATAATCTTAGGTTATTTCATGAAATCTAGAACTTAAGATGTACACTACTGGCTAGGCTTTGGCTGCAGAATTATTCACTCTAGCCTTCGAACAATTTCAGTGTTGGATAATCAAATATTTCTTGCTTATTTTCTTTAAAATATAGATAATCAAATATTTTCTTTAAAATAACAATTATTTCTTGCTTCAATATAATTGATATGTGTATCATTAAGAATTTATCTAAAATTGTTGAGACAAATGATCTAATTAAAGAATATATAATTATGTTAAAATCTCTCATAACCTGGTTGGTCTAATTTCTACTTATAAGTAGAAGAGAATTTAAAAATAAAAGGATCTAAACAGGCACTAAAATTTATGCTTACATCTCTAAACTGAGATATTAAACTAGCTTCAATTTAATCTTATATCTTAGATGATGTATGCGATAAATCTGCCTATTTTAATGTTAACGATTAATAAAGAGAAACAATATTTTAAGTATTTTAATAAAAGGTAATTAAATTAGCCCACCGAAAAGAAAAGGTAATCAAATTAAATAGATACTTTTTTAGTACTAAATTTATAATAACCATTTTAAATTTTCATGTAATTTACTTTAAACGGCAGGTAACAAGAAATCAATATATTGTAAGGCATGGAAGCAATGAGAAAAGTGAAAGAAGATTAAAAAATAAATAAAATGTAAATGGATAAGTATAAAACTACTCAACTTAGTTGTCACTCCCAGCCTCAAAAAACACAAAGCTACCGAGCTTTTAATGTGGCCCCTTAGCATTGATGAATGATGATGCAATACAAAACTACCAAGCTATGAATATGACCTCTTAACGTTGATCATACAGTAAAGCAAAGATGCTGAAACGGAACGGACCCTTAAATCACTCAAAAAAGCGCTCTCTCTCTCTCTCTCTATATATATATATATCATCACGAGACACCCAGTCTTCTCTCTTTGTAAATTTTATCTCATAAATGAATTTTTAGTTTTATGACAAAATTATATTTATAAATTTTTTATTTATAAATTATACTATATCTTACTGGTAAGATATTCTTGAATGAAGTCTTATTGATTAGACATAATCAAATCTATAAATTTGTAAAAAAAAAGTTTGTCAGTATAATCCTCTTATACAAATTGAAAAAAATGTAACAATTTTTTAATGAATAAACAAGAGAAAAAAAAAAGTTAGAGGTGAGAAAAAAATTCTTGTGAGACGTCCCATTTAAAAAATATGAGTGTAGAAGATAATATTAATATTTTTCTTAACAACAGAAGAAATATATTACCCATTTTTTATAACAGTGTAATTGCACAAAATTTTAAATAAAATAAGTTAATACGAATAAATACTTTTTATTGAAGAAAATCCTAAAAGCTGCACATAATACGAGAGCCACTCCTAACTTAAAAAAAAAAAAAAAAAAACTCAAAGCTGCCAACTGCCAAGCTTTGAATGTTGCCAAATAGCATTGATGATGCAATATAAAACTACCAAGCTTTGAATGTGGTCACTTTAACATTGATGATGCTGTAAAGAAACTGAAACAGAAGCAGTAACTCTATAAACAAACAAACAGACCTTGAACATTGAGGAACTTCAGGGAAACCAGGGTGGACGTTAGAAAAAGATGAGAGAGAGAGTGAGAGAGCTTTTTTGAGCGATTTAAGAGTCCGTTTGTTTGTTTCTAATGCTCAGAAAAAGTTTCCAGCTTCTGTTCAGTTTCTTTACTGTATCATCAATGTTAAATTGACCACCTCCAAACTTGGTAGTTTTATATAGTTTTTTTTTTAAAATTGAAAAATATATAGTGCTGCCTGCTAAAAGAAATAGAAATTTATTTTCGTGTTATAGGAAATAAATTTATTTTTTATATACGCATAAAAATATGTGTTATTTATATTTTTTTCTCTCTCTTCTCTTCACATAATCTTATATGGATTCCACATATTTTTATGTATGTAAGAGATACTTTTATCTTCTATAATATGAGAAGCATCAAAGTCAAAAATATCATTTTCATTATAAATATTTTAAAATATAGAATAAGTAAGGCAAATAAATAAAATTTATTAAAGAAAATCGTAAAAGCTACACACAATGCAATGCATTTAATTTATAGTATAATTAATCATAAACATAAATTTATTTTTTTGTAATTTACATATTTGTTATTATAATGTTAAAAAATATGAACTCTCATAAAGGACAAATATTTCCGCTCAAACATGAGATATATATAACCCAAAATGATATCATTTTGAGGGTTTGAAAAAAAATACAGAATATTTTAATAAATTTACTTTTCTTTTGTATTATGTAATTTTATTAAAATGTATTGTATTTTTTCTCATATCCCAAAATAATATAATTTTGAAATTGCATGAGATAAATTTATCTCATAAGAGAAACGTTAATCCCTAAAAATTAAAAGAATTTAACAGTCTCATTTTGTGTAGGATAAGTACACTTTAGTTAAAGGACTTCAATGTACATTTCTCAATTGCTAATTCTAATGATCTCAATTACTAATTGAGTTACTAGGGTCAACAATCGCTACAATTCTGAGTACTTTAATGTTAATCTAACACTTTCTTTAAGAATGGAATTGTTAAAATTTATAGAAAGTTAATTAAATGTAACATATATATATATATATATATATATATATATATATATATATATAGTTGTTAAAATTTATCAGTATACTTAAACATTTTTTAATAAGAATATAGTTAAATAATATATGGTAGGATATTGTAACAACCAATTAGGATTATTACCAATGTTACTACTAATCAATTTCATCATTATCAATTTAATCCAACATTTATATTTGTTTCTATCTTTGTATGGTTATGATTCCTCATATTTAATATGAAAATATTAAATATGAAAATAAATATAACGTATTAAATATGGGGAGTCACAATCATATAAAGATGAAAATAAATATAACCGTTGGATCAATATAATCGATATAACAGTGAAATTGATTGATAGTAATCCTAATTGGTTGTTTGTATTTACAAATTTATTATTTATAAACTTTACAAACTATACTATATTTTACTCGTAAGACATTTTTGTGTGTAATTCATAAATTTGTAAAAAAAAAAAACTTGTCAATATATCTCTCTTATGTTAATTATGATAAAGAGAAAGAGTTTTATAAGAGTTGTGTTGTACGAAAAATGATTGTGTTATGTTATAGAGATTCGTTTTGCGTGCCGTAATTTTTTTTTTTCAAAATATGCGGGTCCCACAAAATATTGTGTGTGTAGAAAACTTTTTTGTGGTTATATTAAAGGGTTCGTTTTTTTGTACAGTCAATGTAGATGACTTATCTACATTGAACCCAAAACGATGTCGTTTTGAGATGAAAATCAAGGTATTTTTATAATTATAATTTATTTCAGGGTTATAATAGTCTTTTTTATTATAAATTTTTAATTTTTTAACTCAAATCGACGTCGTTTTAGCAGCGAATGTAGATAACTCATCTACCTTCACTCTAGAAACATTAAAGCTTACACTCTAGAAACATTTAAGCTTATATTAAACGATGAATGCAAATCCAAAGATAAAAAAATGAATAGGGGGCTGAACCTTTAGCCATCACTGTTCTCCCGCACTCCGGATTAGTCCCATAGCCGGCTCAAAGAGTCGAAGCTCGTGGGGATACCGGAGGGAGCCAACTCGTCTCACAAAGATAATTAGGGTCGGGTAACTCAAAAAAAAAAAAAAAATGAATAGGAAAACTGGGGTGATTTGGCGAAGGGCAAATTCGTCAGCAAATAAAAAAAGGAAAAACTTCGAAATATAAGGAGTTAGGTTCTGACAATGTTAGTCAGAATCGATCACAGAGCTGTTTTTCGCACTTCGCTATCTAAGGTTCGTTCCAAAGAGAAACATCATCAATCATGACGACAACTCTGCTTTTTCATGTCTTTTCTTCTGAAACCCTAAATATTTGCCCGCTCTAAGCTTTGGGATCTTCCAAAGCATTCCAAAAAAGAGCTTCTTGTGTTCGACCCAGCAAAATTCCCATGCCGTAGATCTTTGAATCAAAGAGAATTTCTGATCATTTTTTTTTTTGTTTCTCTTTTGATCCCTTTCAGGTTCTGGGTTCTCAGTGTTTGCGGTCTTGCGGAGCACAGCATCGTCTGTTAGGGAAGGTAACAACTCTTGCTCCACGAATACATATCTATATGTGATTTTGTTTATGGTATGCTGTAACATGGTCTTCTTTATAATTTTCCCTGCATTTTTTCTTTCTATTTTTTTTTTTTGATAATTTTTATTGGGCTTCCGTAATTCCATTTTCTATTGCTCTTTTCATTGCGGTTCCTTTGCGTGATTTTTCCGTGGTGAATTTCACATCTGTGGAACTGACATGTGATGGAAGCCAATAATTCTCTTTTGTTTTTAGTTGTTAGAAAACAAGGAAAATAAAAGTTTTTCCTTTTTTATGGTTTCTTCTCTTTGATTTTAATTGTTAGAAAATAAGGACAACTAAAGTTTTCTCCTTTTTTGATGGTTCCTTGTTAATATCAGACACACTGTGAAATCCCACTTTATCTTCTCTGAATAAGGAATAGAATACATATAGCGGATGTATGTTATGTAGAGCCATAAATTTCTTAACAGATTTACTTCTCAGGTGTGTATACCTTTTGTGAACCATAAGGTTCTTTAGTTTGATTGGGTTATTGTCCTGTGATTTTTTGAGTCATATGAAGCTTCTTAAATGGAAAGCATTTTGATCTTTGGAGGAAGATTTGTTGATCAAATTTAATATTTATGTTGCTTTGTGAATTGTTGGTTGTGTCATGCATGTTGCTTTCACATATGCGTTTCTAGGCGCCAAAGTCTTTCAAAAGAATTTCTTGTGTTTGAGATACAATTGAGAATGGGTAGACTGAAACTCCTGCTTTTATGCTTCGTGCACTCCAAGGAAAGGAGAGATGATTGTTTCTTTCTTATAGAGCTTGTGTTGTTTTCCATCACGACACATGATTGAGCTCTGCATTGACTAACACACTGATTGTATACTTACTAATACATCAACAGATTTGCTTTAATGATTGCATGTTTTGTTGTTTTTGTCGCAAAGGAGATGCCTGTTTCTCTCTTGCATAGAGCTTTTGTCGTTTTCCATCGCGACACATGACTGAGAGCACTGCATTGCAGGCCCATTTTTTCTTATTGCTTCCATGCTTTTATCGAATAACATACTCATGGTATAGTTACTAATACATCGACAAATTTTCTTTAATGATTGCATCTTTTTTTGTTGTTGTCGCAAAGAAGGTGACTGCCTCTTTCTTGCATAGAGCTCGTGTCGTTTTCCATCACGAGTTCACGACACATGATTGAGAGCACTGCATTGAATGCTTATTTTTTCTTATTGCTTCCATGTTTATATTCGTGGTATACTTACTAATACATCGACAAATTTGCTTTAATGATTGCATGGTTTGTTGATTTTGTCGCGAAGTAGATCCTTGTTTCTTTCTTGCACAGAGCTCTTGTCGTTTTCCATCACAGCACGTGATTTGCTTTAATGATTGCATGGTTTGTTGATTTTGTCGCGAAGTAGATCCTTGTTTCTTTCTTGCACAGAGCTCTTGTCGTTTTTCATCACAGCACGTGATTGAGATCACTGCATTGAATGCTCATTTTTTCATGTTGCTTCCATGTTTATATTCATGGTATACTTACTAATACATCGACAAATTTGCTTTAATGATTGCATGGTTTGTTGATTTTGTCGTGAATTAGATGCTTGTTTCTTTCTTGCACAGAGCTCTTGTCGTTTTCCATCACAACACGTGATTGAGATCGCTGCATTGAATGCTCATTTTTTCTTATTGCTTCCATGTTTATATTCATGGTATACTTACTAATACATCGACAAATTTGCTTTAATGATTGCATGATTTGTTGTTTTTGTCGCGAAGTAAATGCTTGTTTCTTTCTTGCACAGAGCTCTTGTCGTTTTCCATCATAACATGTGATTGAGAGCACTGCATTGAATGCTCATTTTTTCTTATTGCTTCTATGTTTACATTGAGTAACATACTCATGGTATACTTACTAATACATTGACAAATTTTCATTAATGATTGCATGTTTTTTTGTTTCTGTCACAAAGAAGATGACTGCCTCTTCCTTGCACAGAACTTGTGTCGTTTTCCATCTCGACGCATGATTGAGAGCACTGCAATTAATGCTCATTTTTTCTTATTGCTTCCACGTTTATATTCATTGTATACTTACTAATACATCAACAAATTTGCTCTAATGATTGCATGATTTGTTGTCTTTGTTGCGAAGTAGATGCTTGTCATTTTCTATTATCACACATGATTGAGAGCACTGCATTGGAGGCCTATTTTTCTTATTTCATGTTTGCATTGAATAACATACTTATGGTATACTTACTAATACATTGACAAATTTGCTTTAATGACTGCATGGTTTTTGTTTTTGTCGCAAAGGAAAGCCTGTTTCTTTCTTGCACAGAGCTTGTGTTGCTTTTCCTCATGACACATGATTGAGAGCACTGCATTGGGGACCCATTTTTCTTATTGCTTCCATGTTTTCATTTAATTTACTGGTACATGGGCAAAGTTGCTTTAATGATTTCATGAGATGTTGTTTTGGTTTCACCTGAAACAGAATGGATCATCAAGGGCATAGCCAGAACCCATCTATGGGGGTTGTCGGGAGTGGAGCTCAATTGACGTACGGTTCTAACCCATATCAGCCAAGCCAGATAACTGGGCCTCCTGGATCGGTTGTTACATCAGTTGGGACCATTCAATCCTCCGGTCAACCTGCTGGAGCTCAGCTGGGACAGCATCAACTTGCTTATCAGCATATTCATCAGCAACAACAGCAGCAACTTCAGCAACAGCTCCAGGCCTTTTGGGCAAATCAATACCAAGAAATTGAGAAGGTTACTGATTTCAAGAACCACAGTCTTCCCCTGGCTAGGATCAAGAAGATTATGAAGGCTGATGAGGATGTTAGAATGATATCAGCTGAGGCACCTGTCATATTTGCAAGGGCATGTGAAATGTTCATATTAGAGTTAACCCTGCGTTCTTGGAATCACACTGAAGAGAACAAAAGGAGAACACTTCAAAAAAATGATATTGCAGCAGCAATCACAAGGACTGATATCTTTGATTTCTTGGTTGACATTGTCCCTCGTGAGGATTTGAAAGATGAAGTGCTTGCTTCAATCCCAAGAGGAACAATGCCTGTTGCAGGGCCTGCTGATGCACTTCCTTATTGCTATATGCCACCCCAGCATGCTCCCCAAGTTGGAACTGCTGGTGTCATAATGGGTAAGCCTGTGATGGACCCAAATATGTATGCTCAGCAGACTCATTCATACATGGCACCACAAATGTGGCCACAGCCACCAGACCAACGACAATCATCTCCTGATCATTAGCTGCTGTATTATGCATATTCATGGAAATTAAGGTGAACTTTAGGCTCTCTCTCTTTCTTTGTCCTTTTTGTTAGTTGTTCAGGTTTTGAACTAAACTTTTACGTTAAAATGCTTATTCAGTACATTATACTATAGTAAATTTTGATTCTGCAAGTTTTCAATTTTATTTGTCTTCTTTTTTCTTAATGGAATTTAATATTTTTCTGTTATAGAATCTTACTCGTTTAAAACATGCACATAACCTTTTGTACTGCTGTTTTATAAATAAGCTTTACCGAGTTTCAACCTAAAGCTTTTTTCTATTTATTTATTTATTTACTTGATCAGCTTAAATTATTTTTATATTTTTTACTGTACTCTTATAGATCATAGTTCCTTTTGTGTCTAATATTGCGCACATTTCCTGGCTTGCAGATTATCTGGCATTGTAATCAGTTGAGAATGTCAAACTGAATGGTTGGGAAGGTCCATAGCGATAGCTGATAGTTTACAAGGAATGCAGACTATAAACATATGTAGATAGTGTGCTAGTGAAAACTTACCATAACTTCGATTAAACTGGATAAGATGGTATTTTTCATGGTTTAATTTTCTGGTCTTCAGATGGTAATATTTCCTGGATTTTTACTTAAATTTAGCTTCTTTGTAATGGCTACATTTTATGCACTTATTTATGCCATCTTTTCTGTCATTCCCTTTGCGATAGCATTATGAGTTGTGTCACATAATTTTGCATACAACTTGCGCGAGAGCACATTTAGAGAGCTTTTATAATATATGCACCCTGTATGTACTTCCACCGACAAAATTACACCTTCTACCTCATAAAAATAGAATTTAAATGCTAGAGGGCTTTGTGTATGGTTAAGTCTACGGAGAGGTTAGATGGAGCTTCGTCGAGGTTGAGCTTTTCCATTTAAACAACAAATATCAGGGGATATATTTTAATCCCTTAGAAAAAAAATTAATTTGTGATTTTTCTGAAATTTAAAATAGACTAAGTTAGTTGAAATCGTGGTCTCTCAAAAATTCAAAAAAAATCTATGTTAGTCCTTCAAAAAAGATTAACATGGTCTATTTTAAATTTTAAAGGAATTACAAGTCGATTTTTTTTCTTAAGAGATTAAATTGAGTCTTGTAATATTTGTTGAGGATCCAAATGATACTTTACTCTTTTTTAATTAATAAAGAATTAAATGTTTTACCACCGGATATTCTTGGCTTAAGAAGTCATGCTTATACAAAATGTTTTTAAGAAATCTAACCATTGAAAGATCACTAATGATATGGCTAGATGGAGCATCGAAAGTGAAAATGAAAAATTAGTAAAATTTGATGGAGTTGTCCCCTTTCATGTAAGCATTTCTGCATTGAAGAAGGCAAGGGGGACAATCAGCTGGGTAAATAATGATATTTGTGAATGATATGATTGTGCATGTTGAACTTACAACATGACGGTGAACCAAAACATGGACAGTTGGAAATAGAGTATTACACTACTACGGTTAATTCACCACCAAAATTGGAAAAGTTGAAGCATGTATGTAGTTATATAACCAAAATAAGCGAAAGAAAAGTTTTGCGTTCAAGAAGCTGGTTCAGTCGGTCCAAGGTTAATCTTGATCATACCATGGCCAGTTCAACATGCCATTTAGTCAAACTGAAAAATAAAATAAAGAGATACTATACAGAATTTTACCACTCAAGTCTGGATCACATCTATTTGACATTTTGCATAAATTTGGATCAATTTATAGTAAACTTCACCGCTGGAAGAAAAGGAAGGATTCTAATCAGACAGAACTTTGCCATCATGTATGTCTTTCCCTTTCATGACAGTTCCTTCAAGGCATATCCCATCATGCCAAAGTTATCTGAAAATTGCTAGGGATCAACCGAGCGAGGCAACTGAAACGAGATGAAGAAATGCCCCGGTGGACAAAGGTTCTGAGTTTGCATTTCAAACTCTTGAGGTTGAGAGTATGTGGATAGTGTCTTCTTCCCCCTTGTAGTTACTCCAAGAATCAATACTTTATCATATGACACAACAAATGAATCTTTTGATGATCAGTAGCTTAACAGTTTCATTTCAACTGAACTATGACCAATTGTCTTTGTAATCCTTTTATGCCTCATCACTTTTCTAGTCATATTTACGTTTTCCCATTTGCCAGCTTTAGCATATATATTAGATAGAAGAACATGAATTCCACTTTGAACATGTTCAAGCTCTGTTAGTCGTACTTTCACTTGATTAGCAACAGAAACGTTATCATGAATCTGGCAGCCATTTAAAAGCGCACCCCATATTGCAACATTTGGTTGTACCGTCATTGTCTCCATTAATCTTTCTGCCTCTCTGAAATGACCTGCCCGACTCAAAAGATCAACCATGCAACCATAATGCTCTCTTTCTGGCATTATACCATACATCTTTGTCATTAGATAGAAATGTTTTTGAGCCTCTTCAACTAATCCAACATGACTACATGCGAATAAAACTCCAATGTAAGTAATATGATCCGGGACTAGAGAACTATCCTCTTGCATTATTTGAAACATATTCAATGCTTCATTTCCATGACCATGCATTGCTAAACCGTTAATCATGCTAGTCCACATCACCACATCTTTCTTTTCCAAACCACTAAAAATCTTCCGCGCACTTCCTAAGTCACCAGTCTTGGCATACATGTCAAGAAGAGCAGTTGCCATGGCAATGTCTGTGGCAATGCTGCTTTTCAATAAATAAGCATGAACGGTTTGTCCCAATGCCAGACCACACTGATGGGCACAAACACTTAAGACACTCAGAAAGGTAGCCTTATCGGGATAAAAGCCATTGTCCCACATATCAAAAAAGAGATCTAGCGCCTCCTTATGCCTCTCATACTGATTGTAAGCATTAATCATACTGTTCCAAGCAACAACGTTTCTCTGAGGCATTTTGTTGAACAGGTCTCTTGCAGTCTTCAAGCTACCACATTTGGCATACATTTCAAGAATGGCAGTTGCAAGAATGATGTTACTATTAGATGAAGACATAAAGGGATCATAACCAGCCTTACGAATGCGTTCATGGACCCATCTTCCAGCATCAATGTCTCTACTACGAGCACAGGCAATCAAAGCATTCACCATGGTAATTTCATTGGGCTCTACACCCCAATGGTTCATGTCTTCAAACACCTTCAAAGCTGCATATGGCTGATCATTATTCACATACCCAGCAATCAAACAAGTCCAAGCAACCACATTCCACTTGGGAATATTATCAAACACTTTAAGTCCTGACTTCATATCTACACATGACACATACATATGGAGTAACCCAGTAGCAGCATAGGCATCTGCTTCAAACCCAGATTTCACTATGCGGGTATGAATGCATTTTCCATAAATTTGATCAGCAATCACAGAACTTGCTTTGAGTACAAATGGGAAGGTAAAATGATCTGGGGAATACCCACTTTGTATCATTTGTCTATACACAAGTATAGACATTCTTGGATTGTAATAGTTAGCATAACCTCTTATCATGGAGTTCCAAATGTAAATGCTTGGGGCATCGATTTGGCGAAATACTAAGTGTGCGTAATTGATCTCCCCAAATTCTGAATCCACACAGAAGTCAATAAGCTTGCTCAAGGGGATTATACTTTTAATAGTTGGGGTCGTGATTAATAGCCCATGCAACTTTTTCATATCCCTCATGGTTTTGCATTTTGCTAACAGAGAGAGAATGGTGTTTTGGTGTATCATCCTCAAATTTTGGGTTAATCACAAACAATCCCACCTAGACCCACCTTGTATTAAGGGCTGTTATAAGGTTTATTCCTATGAAACCATAAACTAACTAGTTTGATCCATCTCTATCAGGACTAATGCCATAATCACTTCAAAACATTAAAGTGAAAAAACTACAGTGAACAAATTGTTTCAGTTTGACAGGAGAATGGGAATGAAAATGTAAATATAATAATGAAAGTGATGAGTTTGTATCCATTCTCCATTATGTTATGTGGCTATAAGTGGACAGGAAAATTGAGCCACAATGATTAATCAGGTGGCAGAGAAGCATATCGATCTGATTTGTTAAATATTTGAATGAATTACCATTCTTTGGCGGAATAATTCCAGAGGAGATATTAATAAACTTAAATATTATTATCAGAGCAATGAAATACTATAGTATTGACCATCACATACACATGTTATTATTGAAATAGAATGTTTGCCAACAGTGATATACCTGATTAATGTGTGTTTTATATAGGCTACAGATAGCACTTAAAAAATGAACCAAACATAATCAGTGGCGGGATTTTTTATATTGGGGGCGAAAATAAATTTTTTTATATTAAAAATTACATATATCAACCTAATGTAGAAAGTTTGAAAGAGTTTTATTATAAAATTCAAGATCAATTCACTTAACTCTTCCTCTAGACTTTTTCATATTATTAAACTCTTTTGTAATTGAATTTGTGCTAAAATTCAAAACAATTTCTTTTTTAATATATGTAACCAAAGAATCATCAAGAAATTGGTCTTCTATTCGATTTCGAAGTTTACTTTTGATTATCTTCATAGCTGAGAAAGCTATTTCAGCAATTGTTGTAATAACTGAGAGAGTTAGTACAAGTCTAATCAATCTATCACTAAGAGGATAAATATTTGATTTTTCAGTTTTTGCCAATCTTTGATATAACTCAGTTATAGTTGATAAATTATTCAAATCTCAATGTTTAGGAATATCGTGTTCAAAATGGAGATAATGTATCTTCATCTTCAAGTGTAATTTTTCTTGTTATGTGAAATAATTATAATAAAATTTATCTACAAACTTGCAAATATCGTTATTTTTTTTTTTTGAAATATTTCAATCGATTCATTGTTTCGCAACTAATCCGATTCGGGGCGAGTCCAGGATTAAGACTTTAAACACCTCTCAAAGGTGATACTGGGAAGATTCGAACACATGCTCTCACTCTCACCTGCTTAGCTCCCATGCACCAACTGAGCTACCACCATTTAATAAATATCGTCATTATTAAATTACTTGTATCCATTTCTTGGATCTAAATTCATGCTCAACCAATTAATGTTAAAGAATAATATAAAACATTAAAAAGGTCTTCACATGATACCTTAAGATTTTGGGTTGAGGTAGTTCTTTATATGATATCAGAGAACTTGGCCATAAGATCACGAGTTCGATCCGCCCAAAGAGCTCTTGCATGAGAGTGTGTGTTAGATATAAACCATTAAAAAGATCCTCACCTAATACCTTTAGGTTTTGAGTTAAAGTGGTTCTTTACAACTAATCCAACGGTATTAAAATACCCTTTAAATTTTTTTTCAAACAAGATTGCAGAAAAATATTAATTCCAAAATAAAAAATATTTTGTGCTGACTAAATATAAAATAAGTTGTATAATTATGCAGTGGGCCAGGTCAGCAGTAGTAGGAAAAATCTATGGTGCTACTGATGCACCAAGATTCAGTGCATCTCGTCAATAGGAGCATTACACATCATATGAGAGAGAAAAAAATTGACAAAGAAAAGAAAACTTTAACTGATATTTAAGAAAACTTTAACTGATATTTAATATTTCTATTGGTAGGATGTACTGAACAAGAGCACCAAAGATTTATTCCAGTAGTAGATGTTAATAAAAACGACACGCATTGCGCATGGACCTCGTGTCAGGACTCGACTCAAATAGGAAACATGGTGCATCCCATTCATCGAAGGAGAAAGAACAGAACAAAATCACAAAAAACAGAATAGAGAAAACCTTGTTGATTGGGGAAAATAAAATAAAATGAATGGTGAGTGAAAGAAAGAAAGAAAGAGAGCGAGTGAGATAGATCAGAAGATATATAAAACAATACACAATGGAGGTTAAAGCTAGAGCTCCTGGGAAGATTATCTTGGCCGGTGAACATGCTGTGGTTCATGGATCCACCGCTGTTGCTTCTTCTATTGATTTGTTCACCTACGTTTCTCTTCGCTTCTCTACTCCTTCCGGTACTCTCTCCCTCACTTCGATCCATTTTACCAACAACTCCTCTTTAATTTGATTCCAACTCGTAACGTTCTTTGAATGCATTTTATGCTCGTAATATAAGATCCAAACGTAGTTCTGAGCTGAGAAATAGGACACCTTTTTTAACCTAATAATTTGGTTAAAAGAAGTATGAATTTCAATTATATGGTATTTGCCAATACAATGCGCTTGTTTATGATTGATTTCTCATTCAATTTGGAATTTATGATTTATGCCATAGATAATGAAGATTCATTGAAACTCCAGCTTAAGGATATGGCATTAGAATTCTCATGGCCAATCAGTAGAATAAGAGAAGCTTTTCCTGAATCTGCTGTTCCGTTATCTTCAACGCCTACCTCATGCTCTGTGGAGTCTGCCAAGTCAATTGCAGCTCTAGTTGAAGAACTAAATATACCAGAGGCCAATATTGGACTTGCCTCTGGTGTTTCTGCGTTTCTATGGCTATACACATCTGTTCAAGGGTGTGAAAAACTGTGAATCCATTTTGTTGACTTTTCTAGTTTTTTTTTGGGTTTTTTTCTGTAGTTTTGATTCTGTTTGTATCTCTCTATGTAGATTTAAGCCTGCTACTGTGGTGGTCTCTTCTGAACTTCCTTTGGGTTCAGGGTTGGGTTCATCAGCAGCATTCTGTGTGGCACTGGCGGCTGTCCTGCTTGCTTTCACTGATTCTGTTTCTGTGGATGTGAACCACCAAGGATGGTTGTCTTTTGGGGAGAAGGAACTTGATTTGTTAAATAAATGGGCTTTTGAAGGTGAGAAGATCATTCATGGAAAGCCGTCTGGAATTGACAACACAGTAAGCACATATGGTACGCCAGGGTTTTGCTAGAAAATTCCGTTGTCTTTCATTGATTTTATTTTAATTATTTGGAACATGTCTTTTTTAATTTTTGTTGTTACTGATTATAATTCGAACCTTTTGTATGCCCAGAATGAATTGGAATGCAATTGGTGGGTTTTTATCTCCTCGTGTAAGAGGGGGGGGGGGGGGGGGGGGGGGGGGGGGAGGGGGGATGAACAAAATTCTTTCTGTGGTTATGAAAAGCTACGGGAACAAGCAGGTCTTCTCTTTTAGTGGGTCAGTCAATAGTCTCACCTAGAATCAAATTTAATTTACTTAGCAGTAGAGGAATAATTTAAGGTCATTAGCTATTGGTTTGTACAAGTGAGTTTAGAAAGACACAATAGTGTTAGGTGGGAAATATATATTATACCTGTACAAATTGTGATTTGTTTGGAATGTTCAATTACCATGTACTTTGTTCGCAACATATGTAAGTTATTTCCTCTGAATGTGCAACTCACTCAATAGCTACCATTATCAGGCAACGTTATCAGCTTCAAGTCTGGTAGCTTGACACATATGAAGTCGAATGTGTCGATTAAAATGCTCATTACTAACACCAAAGTAGGGAGAAACACAAAAGCATTGGTGTCTGGTGTTTCGGAGAGAATGCTAAGGCACCGGGATGCAATGGCTTTTGTTTTTAGTGCTGTTGATTCTATCAGCCAGGAATTGACTACCATTCTCAAGTCTCCCACACCAGATGATGATCTCTCTGTAACTGAGAAAGAAGAGAAGATAGAAGAGCTAATGGAAATGAATCAAGGTCTGCTCCAGTGTATGGGAGTCAGTCATGCCGCAATAGAAACTGTTCTTCGAACAACATTGAAGTACAAGTTAGCTTCCAAATTGACAGGAGCCGGTGGCGGGGGCTGTGTTCTGACGCTGCTTCCAACCTGTATCCTCTTCACTTATATTGTCTTCTTTTCCTTGTGCTTCTAAGGTTTTCCATTATATTTTTGGTTTTCTTTTTTTCGATTTTCTTGTCTACTTTTAGTTGATAGCCTACATTATGTTTGCTTATGCTTTAGTAATCCTACATATGTGGCAAACTTATCTCTTACTTTCTGCCACGAGTTGTCCTGGAGGGTGGACCTTGTCATATGACACACAAGCGTGTGTGTGCTGCCTGGGGAGATATGCATGCACATGTGTTTGTATGCATAGAGGCATTTATAAAACCTACACAAGCATTATGGCAAGAACGCCAGCTAGTGACGGTGAATACTTATTTTTACGAGGACACCCAGTGCAGTCTTCCATTTTATCTTTCTCGTGTCACCTTTGTTCCCCGCACTTTCAAGTTACTTCTAACGTCACAGTTTTTTTCGATAGATACTCTTTAGGTAATTAAAACACTAATGGAGAAGAAGAAAAAAAAATTTGATGTGAGAGGCATATAGGATTAGGAAGAGCCAACCAGGATTCTAGGGGTGGGGTGGATGGTTTTCTTGTCTTTATGCTACAGAAACCAAAGTTTTTTCCTAGTCTCTGCAACCCATCATGATTTTATAGATTTTTGGTATCTTGAATATATTCTTTAATCTCGGTTTCTTATATCCCTTCCTTGACATGCTCTAATCAGTGCTATCAGGCACCGTTGTTGACAAAGTAATTGCTGAACTGGAGTCATGCGGGTTCCAATGTTTCATTGCCGGAATTGGCGGGAAAGGTGTTGAAATTAGCTTTGGGGTGTCATCTTGATTTTCTCTGTTTTATTTTTCCAAAGAGCGACATCAATGATCAAGGGATCTGATCCTCAAATAAATAGCATCTTGTGCATCAATCTGTAACGTTTTCTTTTCTATTTTTGAATTAATTTTAGACTTCTGTTGAATCCTCAACGGAAATTGGAGAATATGATTTGGGTACAGAACATGGTTGTCAATGGGACTTGTGGACTGGCGTATCCAAGACTATATCATATGTAAGTTACCAAGTGGTTTTGTACTACAGGAGCAGTTTTATGTAATCTGTAGTGCATACACTTGTTCATGGTTAAGAAGATATCATCTGTATGTTACCAAGTGTTTTGTACTACGGGAGCAATTTTATGTAATTTGTAATACATACACTTGTTCATGGTTAATAAGATTCACTATAATCCATCATTCACTTCATACTCATAGCATCAGTTACCATTCTCCCATGACCTTTCTTGAAGTTCTAATGCCCACGCCCATCCTTCTCAACCTTTCTATTTGCTCCCACCACCTGGTTAAGGAGAGTTCCTCCCAAGGTCAGTCCCAATCATTGCATGCCACTTCTCAGTCTTCATTATCCGCAAGTATGTTGTTATAACTTGTAGCCCTGGACTTCATCAATTGCTTGTGGAATTTCTCTTTCTATTCTCAAGGGATTAAATGTTGTCTTGGATCATGTTGAAGACAAAGCTTCACCGCCTCCTGAGTTTATTCATGATTCCAACTATGTCTTGTTTGCTAGTCCTGCCTGTCGTCAGTAGAAAGAGGTGGATTTTGTTTTTCTGTTTAGTGTTGTCAAAATTGAGTTTCTATGTTGTAAGAGAATGATAGAAATGTAAATCGTAAAAATGACCCAAAACATAAAATTTCTATTAATTAAAGTCAAGATATATATATATATATATATATATATATATATATATATATAATAGATCAACTTATACCGGTGTAATAATAATAAATCTGACACCAAATCTTAACTGTTGATTTTCGTGCATCCAACGGTTGAAATTTATTGAGAATTAAAAATTAATTAATGAGTGCTGCTTATAAATCTTAAGCGTTAGATGCAGAAAATCGTTAAAATTTGGTGTAAGACTTGTTATTCTTACACCAGTGTAAGATGAGTCTGCCCCTATATATATATATATATATATATATATATATATATATATATATATATAAGAAAAAATGTTTATCATTTTAAATGACATAAAATTATGTAACTTTAAGAGAGAGATAGATACAAAAAAATATTTTTTATTTAAAATTTATATTAAAAAAAATCACTCACTTTCTCTCCCATGATTTTAAATGGAAATACAGCTGTTTCTCGCTCTAGAGTTTTTTTTTCTAGATAGTTAGAAGAAAAAATTACTGTGCATTTAATTTGGAGAAAATAGAAATAAATTTTTTTTATTTTTTTTTATTAAAAAAAATTGATTACGCGTACTAAAAAGTATCACTTCAATAAAAACAAAAATGTAAATTTTTATGTTTTTAGATGTGGATAGTCATGTCAAAGATTAGATGAAGCAAAATAAATTTTATGTAAGATCATGAGTGTAAATTACATGAATTATTAAAATTGATTTTAATTAGACACAACTTAATATTTTTTATTTAAATATTATTTCTCTCTCATAATTTCTATTGCTTACTTAAAACACTAAACCCATTTATTAAATATAAAAATAGGTGCATTTTCTTACAAAAAGTTAAATTTAAAATTAGAAACTTTTGTAGGAAAACATTTTAGAAAAAGACATTTTTGCATGCCATGGTCAGTGATTCAGATGTTGATTTCTCATTAGTACATAACCCAGTTTTGCTCTCCTTAATCCTTATCTTGATCTTTAAATTTAAAGGATAAATGAAATGAATTTCCAGGATTCTACATGACCCAGTGTGACGGTATTTTTTGTGAATGGATTAAATTGTCGTCTAATCAAGTCTCTCAGGTAAAATTAACGAAATTCTATAACCACACAAATTTTGATGTATAAAAGTACTTGCACATACTTTCACAAAAGAACTATATTTTCTTAGGTTTCTACATTGGAAAGCATAAGGTACAGAGAAGCTGCTGGAATACATATATTTATTCATATACATCGTACTTTTTGCCATTTGTAACATAGTTTACGACGACAAGAACCACAAACACTTTACATATCGATCTTTTTTCAAGCATCATTTATCCTTCATCATCAAGCATTCACAACGGTTCCACCTGAAAAGGAAAAAAAAAATGTTATATAACGATCACCTTCTGATTCTGGTGTAAAAAAATAACTCAGAAGCATATATAAAAGTATCATTTAATCACCGTTGGGGTGGAGGACTTGGCCAGTTATGTAAGAGGAACATTGGTTGCAGGCAAGAAACACATAGGAGGGAGCAACCTCAATAGGCTGGCCAGCTCTCTTCATTGGCACATCGCTACCAAATTGAGCAGTTTTTTCCTCCTTGAAAGATGCTGGTATTAATGGTGTCCATATGGGACCAGGAGCAACCCCATTCACTCTTATTCCCTTCTTCACCAGCTGAAGCGATAAGGCCCTAGTGAATGCCACAATGGCACCCTTGGTGGACGTGTAGTCCAATAATGTTGGGTGTCCCTTGTATGCATTCACTGATGTCGTGTTGATAATGCTGCTTCCTTCCTTCATGTGCTTGAGGCAATGCCTATATATATATATATATATATATATATATATTAAGGTTAATTAGTTAAATCTAAATAAGGTGAATTAATGTATGTTTAAAACCAATTTTATTTATTTATTTACCTGGCCATGAAGAAATATGAAAAGATATTAGTTCTGAACACCCTCTCAAGTCTTGGCTCATCAATCTCCTCCACTGATTCACACTCGTATTGCTCAGCTGCATTGTTGACCAGAATGTCAATCCTGCCATAAGCATTGACAATCTCATCAACCACTCTCTTGCAATTCTCATCAAAACCCAAGTCAGCTGGTATAGCCATTGGATCCTTGGCATCTGCAGTCTTAGCTTTTTTAATCATTTCAAGAGTGTCCCTCGCGTCCTTGTCTTCTTGCCCCTTCACATACGTGAAAATCACAGTAGCACCCTCTAATGCAAACAAGTTGCATACGGCACGTCCAATACCAGAGTCACCACCAGTTACAACTGCTATCTTTCCCTGAAAATTATTAACACACAAATAGAACTGATCGATTAAATTGTGAAAAAAGTCAGTTAATGAATGAAGGGAAACTGTGATATATATATATGCATACTTGAAGTTTATTTGATGGCTTGTATTCTGGGCAGGTGAATTGGGGTGTTGGATCCATGACATGTTCTTTCCCAGGCTGTGTGTGTTGCTTCTGAGGGGGGAAATTCTGTTTACCGGAAGCCATTCTCACAAACGAGCTTTTGGGAACAGAGAAGGGAATCTTTTTGAGTTGATGGAAATATATGTGGTTTTAGTTAGTCCTTGAGTGGATGTTGATTTTGAAATGAAAGCAAGATATATATGGAGATGCTTTTTTAAGGATCTTAATTGTTGAACAAAAAGTGTGTGCCGTACGTGTAAACATATAGTAGTGGTGCACTTTGCTCTGATGTCTCTCTATGTGTATTATCCATGTACACATGTTCTTTTTTAAAGAATTTGAGCTTGCCACGCGGTGTGGAGTGGCAGAAGGAAGTGTTGACGTGTCGTATTTATCGCATGCAGCGGACACGTCTGTAGAAACGGTCAGTACTCTAGAGTAGACCAACACAAGGTTTGGTTTTGAGTGTGGGTGTGGCTTCCTTCCTAGTATTAGTATTGGATATGGTTATCCTTTAATTTGGAACAAGGGTCGCATTATAGTACCTTGGGTTACGTTCATGTTAACTAACCATTTACTTACTTGTCTAATGGATATAATTAAATATAGCTTCCTTCTACATGTCATATTAATTAGTATATTCCTGCCACGTGGAGTAGGATTGAATTCCACTTTGGAACAAAGTCACAAGCTGAATCGAAGTCGTCATAACTATTAATTAATGTCATTTACTTGCGGTGTATGAATGGCAATTATTGTAGATATGTAAGATTAATATAGCAGAAGTTATCAGACCTAATCAGATCATGGACTTAACTTGTTACCTTGCATGCCAGCCACGTGGAAGATGAAGCAGTTGATACCTGTCATACATAGGAACCAATTTTAAAATTTGATTTCCACCTCTTCAGAGTTTAGACTGTATTCTCATAAAGTTTGTCAAGTTCTTTGGGACTCAAATTCACCATGGCCTCCTTCAAACTTTGCCTCGTCCTTCTTGCACCTGTTTTTGCTTTCCTATTCCTTTCTAGTCCAGCGCAGTGTAAAGGTATTTTCTTTCCCTTACACATGCATGCGGTCTAATCTATGTAATTGTTTTTCATATTATGTATCTCTTCTGTTAATTTTCCAAAAGGAGAGATACTTGTTTCACTTACTTGAAGCATCTTATAAGCATGAAAAATTGAACCAAACTTAATAAATAAATGGTTTAAGAGTCTAATTACCATATTTCGTGCAATATAAACTATGGGTCCGTCGCTTCTCATGTGACTGCTGATGAAAAAAGTTGCAGCAAATTTTTAACACTAGGATACACGTGTGGATCCTAGGATACACGTGCGGATTCTAAAAAAAAAAAACAAAAAAAAACCAGGATTCGGACGCGTATCCAGTGTTGCTGTAAGTTTTCCCTTCTGCAGTCACATAAGAAGTACTTTCCCCGTAAACTATTTGGTCTATTACCCCCAAGTTAGCCACCTTTTTCTCTACAAGAAAGACCATAGTACCTAATTCCAAGATATATAAAGTCTTTTCTCTTTTTCTTTTCTTTTTTTCGTTGTGTGTGTGTGTGGATGAACGGTAATCCCATGATATTGCATAAACTTTCTAGTTTACATGCATGATGAAACTCTTCCATGGATCTCATATTACATAATCCCATGACATTGTTGGTTGATTGTATAACAAATGCATGTTTGTTTTGATTAATTTGTTCTATTATTAACGATCTTATACATGTATGTTTGTTTTCATTAGATGAAGAGGACAGTGTGTTTAAGGGAATAAATAGCTACAGGCAAACACTGAACCTCCCACCCCTGAACCGAGTAGCCAAGGCATCATGTTTAGCTGATGAGGTTGCAGATGAAATAGAGGACGAGCACTGTGAAAATGTGAATCAATTCTACCCAGCACCTACTGGTCCAGCTGGTGCAAACATAAAAATACCAAACTTGCAGAAGCATATAGATAAATGTGACATTAACATTAACACCACCACAGATGGTGTTATTCTTCCTGTTTGTGTAGCCAAATTGGAACCCACTGTTTTGCTTTCTAATTACACTCATTCTGATCGGTACGCACGGTATCTCAACAATTCTAGGTACACAGGAGCTGGGCTTGGTTCCGAGCACGATTGGATGGTTCTTGTTCTCACTACCAACACAACCACTGGAACTTTCTCTGCTTCAATTTCTCTGCATGCTAAACCTTCTTGGATGGAGTTCTTGCTGTTGCCTTTGCTGCTTGTGATGATGATCAACTAGCTACTGCTAGCTAAGATTGATATCACGCTTTCTTTCTTCTAATTAAGCTTCATTATATATGTTTAGTTAGTCTTTAATTTTATTCCTCGTGTAAATGTTGTGTGCACTTAATTAGGGATTAGTTTATGTGGTGTAATGTAATGATGTTATTCATGTAACTCTTTTAAGATATTTCAGACAACCCTGCCAGTGAATCTCTCTCTTATCAGGGAATTCTTAGTATTAGCTAAATGTTGTGCTTTTCTCACTTAACAAGTACGTAACTTTCACTTCAATATATTAATTTTTTTTTTTTGTGTGCGTTACACCACCTCTCTTTCTGCTGTTCACAGCAATTTGACCAAATATGTTACGTTTATGCACCAAAACATTCAGTTTCATTTATATACTATTCAATTACCATCAACCACACATTGGCTAATTGAATTACATGGGATGGGGATGCCCTTTACTTGTAGCGCAAGATTAAAACTTAACAAAAAACAACTTGTCGCGAGAGTAAAAGTGAATGTACAAAAAAATCACCAAGCATGCGGGATTGTTCCGTTCCAACTTAAATGAATCCCTAGTAATGAATGCAGTTGTGTACAAAATTTGTAAGGAGAATTTTGTCGGTATTATTCAGTTCGAATTAGATTATCGATTAAATATGCAAAAAGTAAATGGATTCTTCCATGTGTAATATGATCATGTCATCCGAGGATCTTAATCATTAATAATTAAATTAACGGTGATGATTGTGTAACTCTCTATCTTTATATTTTTTTTTCTCCTCTCTTATCACCATTAACTCACCCATGTATAGTTATGATTTCCCCATATGATATGGTCATCTTAATTAGCACATAAGATGATCAATGTATAAATAAAAATTAAATATATTTTAAATTGTTATGTACATAATTGTTAAATGGAAAAAATATTTCTATTTTTGTAGAATTTTTGTTTTGAGTGAATTTTACGAAAAAAATATTCATCATTTTAAATGATATAAAATTATATTATTTTTAATGAAATTATGTCATTTTGATAAATTTTTACATTGTCTCCTCCATTTTATTTTTATTTCTACTTTTATAAATTAAAAAAAAGATTTTGTTAATTTCATGTAACATGAAAATAGATACATCATGTTAACATGCTTTTGTAGGACCCATCAAATATTAGAAATAAAATAAAGAAAAAAACTTGCACAAAAAACGATGTGAGAGCGGGAGGAAACAAATATTTCATGTAATATAACGTGAGTTGGGTTTTATTAATGTTATGTTACATAACATTAGTTTCTAACACACATAATAATGAGGAGAGAGAAAATGAAATAATGAAAGAGAAAGAAAAATATGTAGACCTTACCTCTTTAATGTGTGTAAAAAAATGAAGTTATGTTATGTAAAATAATAAACATAAAATCTATATAACGTTTGCTTTCCCCTTAAAAAAAATAATAAAACGTAACAAAACGAGTAGTTTCGTTGTAAGTTTATTCGGTAGCCATTAGTAGTGATTGGTGTTTGTGTGTAGTGGCGTCGCCGTCGCCGTGATCGTGATGTTGGACATTAACCTGTTTAGGAAGGAAAAGGGGCACAACCCCGAACTCATCCGCGAATCTCAACGGCGTCGTTTCGCCAGCGTCGACCTAGTCAACCAGGTCATCGATCTCGACAAAGAATGGCGCAATCGTCAATTTGAGCTAGAGAATCTCCGCAAAGAGTTCAATAAGATCAACAAGGAAGTCTCTATACTTAAGCGTGTCAGTCCAAACCCGAAACCCTTTCATTTTCTAATTAATTTTTTTTTTATTTATATATTTTCATCATTATAAAGTAACTCATGCCGTGTCCGTGCGTGTGTTAGGGTGGTAAAGATGCAACTAAGATCATTGCTGAATCGGAGGAGACTAAGAAACTGATAGCAGAGAAAGAGGTTGAAGTTGGGGACACTCTAAAACTCTTGAATTCTAAATTGGAAACCATTGGAAACCTCGTTCACGATTCAGTTCCAGTCAGTGATGATGAGGTTTGCTTTCTCTTCTCATTCCTTTCTCTGAATTTTATATTTATCCTAATATCATCAATCACATGATATCTTCTATATTGTTATTATAGGCCAACAATGCCGTGATTCGAACATGGGGAGAGAGAAGAGTGGAGCCCAATCTCAAGAATCATGTCGATCTGGTTGACCTTCTCGGAATAGCAGATACAAAGAAAGGTATGATTTTTTTTTTTCACATTTGAATGCCTTTCTTTCTGCTACTACAGTACTACCTATCTTGGCCATATTTTAATTTTTAATTCATTTTGCTTGCGGCACAAAATTTTGGTATGGAAGAATTCAAACTTCTTCCTAAAAAATGCAGTGATTCATTGTGCAGTTACATTTTTACGCTGTATTTATCATCTCATTTGCCACATGAAGACTTCATGTTATTAATCATCACTCTAGTGCATGGAACATTGTTTACTGCATTTCAGCGGATCCAGCCAAGTCTTTCACTAATGCATGCATTTCTGATTCTATCTCCTCTGAATGTATCTTAATCTTTTATCTTCTTACTTGATATCTAATAGGAGCTAATGTAGCTGGAGGTAGAGGTTTCTATCTTAAAGGAGATGGCGTTCGTCTTAATCAAGCTCTAATAAACTTCGGCTTTGATTTTTTGGAGAAAAGAGGATATACTTTATTGCATACTCCTTTCTTCATGAGAAAAGATATAATGTCAAAGTGTGCTCAATTAAGCCCAATTTGATGAAGAACTTTACAAGGTAAATTTTGTAAGTTGATGAATCGATTATTTATCTGCATGAGCATCAACAGTTTGTTGATGTGGTCTATGTTAGTGAAGCCTTTATATACAATTTCAATTATTTTACTCAAGTAAATCATTTAAGTTCTTGTCTGCATCACTTGAATCTCAAGTTAATATGCTTAATCTTTTAGTGCTGATAGCCCTATTGTAGTGTGACATTCAAAATCGTCAAAGCTTAAAATTTTCGTCTGAGCATGTCCGACTATTTATCATGCAGGTAACTGGTGAAGGAGACGACAAATATCTGATTGCAACAGCAGAACAGCCCCTTTGTGCCTATCACTTAAATGATTGGATCCACCCTTCCCAGCTACCCATAAGGTAATATGAATTTGATGATGCATTGTAACATTGGAAGACTGCATCGTCTTTAACTTTGGAAAGATGCTTTTGATAGATATGCTGGATATTCATCATGCTTTCGTAAAGAAGCTGGATCTCATGGTCGAGATACTCTAGGAATATTCAGAGTTCATCAATTTGAGAAAGTGGAGCAGTTTTGCATTACTAGCCCAAATGACAATGATTCATGGGACATGCATGAGGAAATGCTAAAGAACTCTGAAGATTTCTACAAAGCAGTATGTTTCTATCCCCTCATTAAGCAACTAGTATATGTTTAGTACCATTCCTCTATACTAGTTCAAATTTTAAATAGCAATATAATTAGATAACGGTTACAGGCCTCTGCTATATTATAGGGATAGGTAGAGGTGGCAAAACGGGTCGGCCCGTCCCGCCCCGTCTCTTGAATGTGGATTGAAAAGCCCAATCCACCCTGTTTTATGGTGGGTTGGCAGGTCAACCCGCCTAAAAAATAAAAAATAATTAAAAATAAATTATATTTTATGAATTTTACAATATTACTTATTTTATGAACAAAGTAAACAGATGCTGGAACAACGAATGCTCTAGTAGCAAACACAGGGTTCAAATGCCTGCAACAGCACAGCATCGAAACTAATCATTTTCACTTTGCTAGTGCAAATTAATGTTTACCTGCTCTTCAAGTAAGTTCAGCTTCGGAAGATAAAAGCATCAGAGGTCCATCAGGATCACAATTCCTGATAGCATTTGTATAAGGGTATACATCAACATCAACAACACCTTTATCCCAAATTAATTGGGGCCGGTGGTAGATGAACCCACATGAAAGATACAAAACGGTTGAAAAAAAGTTAAAAAAATAAAAAAAAATAAAAATAAAAAAAATAAAAATAAAAAAGTAAAAAAGTAAAAAAGCCAAAAATAAATAAATAAAAATAAACAAATAAAATAAAAATATAAAATAAGATAAAATAAAATAACAATATATGTATATATAAATAAATAAAAGTAAAAAAGAAAGGGACAAGAAGAAGTGGGGGAAATGAAGGGGAAAAGGACTAAAAAGGGACCATCTGGAACATAAGAATAACAGCGGGTCTAACCCTCCACCATACTTATAGCTTTTCTCCATTCCGTTCTAAGACATACTGTCCGCCAATCTATATCCCACTCCATTAAATCTTGTTTTACTACTTTCCCCCAAGTAAGCTTCGGCCTACCTCTGCCTCTTTTTGTGTTGAGCTCTTGGTAACAAACTTCTGTTCTTACAGGAGCATCCATGGGTCTTCTCATCACGTGCCCAAACCACCTCAATCTATGTTCTCTCATCTTCTCGGCTACCGGTACTACTCCGACCTTTCGTCCAATATCTTCATTTCTTATCTTATCCATCCTTGTGTAACCACACATCCACCTTAACATCCTCATCTCTGCTACTCCCATCTTATGCTCATGTTGCCTATGTGCTGGCCAGCATTCTGCTCCATATAGCATTGCCGGTCTTACTGCCGTTTTATAGAATCTTCCTTTTAACTTCAGGGGGATTTTGCCGTCACACAAAAATGCAGATGCACTGCGCCATTTCATCCACCCTGCTCTGATTCTGTGATTTACATCCTCATCAATCTCTCCACCGTTTTGTAAAATGGAGCCCAAGTATTTAAAAGCATCTTTTTTGGGTACCTCTTGACCATTTAGATGCACAGGTTCTTGGTCCTCATCTCGTACCAGAGAAAACTCACACTTTAGATACTCAGTCTTGCTTCGACTTAATGTGAATCCTCTGGATTCCAATGTGCTTCTCCACAATTCAAGTTTTCTATTAACACCCTCCTTGCTCTCATCAATAAGCACAATATCG